GCGGGCTCAGGCAATCCACTCACCTCAGCCTCCCAAAGGTGCGGGATGACAGGCTGAGCCACCGAGCCTGGCTGACATTAATTTTTAAATGGTGCGTGAGGCTGGGCGCAGTGACTCACGCCTGTAATCCCAGCACACTGGGAGGCCAAGGTAGGAGGATCGCCTGAGCCCAGGAGTTTGAGACCAGCCTGGGCAACTTAGCAAGACCTCGTCTCTAAAAAAACGCAAACATTTACCCAGACGTGGCGGTGTGTGCCTGTAGCCCCAGCTACTCAGGAGGCTGAGGCAGGAGGATCGCTTGAGCCCAGGAGTTGGAGGCCATGGTGAGCTATGATCACATGACTGCACTCCAGCCTGGGCAACAGAACGAGGCCCTGTCTCCAAAAATGAGACAGAGTGGGAAGGTCTGTTTTACAGGCGTGGCTGGGGTGGGATGAACCCCGCGGGGACACACACCTCCCGCCTCAGTCCAAGGCTCCGACAGGGCAGAGGCCTGGGCCTGGCCCGTGCACGCCCATAGCGACCGAGTCCCAATCAGCCGCTGTTTGCGGCGCTGTTTGACCTTGTGACAGGGGTCTCTGTGCCTTCCTGGGGAGTCCCCCACCCCGGGTTGGGGAGGCTGGCCTCCAAGAGGAAGGAAGGAAGGAAGGAAGGCAGAGGGCGCCCCGGAGGTCACCGCAACTCGCCCCGCCTCTCGCTCCCAGCCCGCGTTCCGCACCGAGTCTGGGCAACTTTGATCTTGACCGCAGTCAAACCCAAGTGCGGTGACCTCATATCATTCTCAAACAAAGGGACAAGCTTTCTCCTGCCTGGGACCAAAATAACACCGGAGGGGAGATAGGCTGGATTCCATAAGGCTCCGATTCCGGGTGGGTGGAATATTTGAGGTGTTATTCATGTGCCCAAACTTCATTCCCACAGAAATTGACCGGATATGGTGCTTCGGTGCCTCCGAGGGCCAGTTCTGTCCTCCGCCGAGACGCGTCGGCGTGCACCAGCCGGAACGGCCGATGGATTTGCCAGGTTGCAGCTCCGCCCTAGGGGCACTGGGCAGGAATCCTGAGAGAAATAACCTAGCGGAGACTGCAGGCACGGGGAGGGCAGGGCCCGCTCCAAGCTGCCTTCAGGGCCCCCGTTCCACGTGGGGTGATTTGCACACAGAAGCCACGGAGGCTGCGGCCTGTGGTTCTCTTAGAATCAGGACGTCCAGCCAACAGCTGCAAGGGGCCTGGAGGCCGTTCTGCGTGCTGAGGGTGGCGTCCTCAAAATTGGACTGTTTTTATTTGTATTTTTTGAGTTGGGGGTCTCACTCTGTCACCCAGGTTGGAGTGCAGGGGTATGATCATGGCTCATAGTAGCCTCAACCTCCTGGGCTCAGGCGATCCTTCCGCCTCAGCCTCCTAAGTAGCTGGGACTGGAGGTGCGCGTCACCATGCCCGGCTAATTTTTCAATTTTTAGTCGAAATGAGGTCTCGCTACGTTGCCCAGGCTGGTCTCAAACTCTTGGGCTCAGGCAATCCTCTCACTTTGGCCTCCCAAAGTGCTGGGGCTACAGATGTGTGCCACCACACCCGGCTAATTTTTAGATTTATAGTAGAGATGCGGTCTTGCTGTGTTGCCCAGGCAGGTTTTGAACTCCTGGGCTCAAGCAATGCCCATGCCTTGACCTCCCAAAGTGCTGAGAAGACAGGTGTGAGCCACCGCGCCCGGCTAGGATATTTATCTTATGTCTTCCTCTGGACGATATAACCCATGCTGGGATGGCAGGGTTGGAAAGGGCACCCGCCCTCTTAGATGGCTACTCAGCCCCTGAGACTGTGTGCGCCTTGTGTCCTGGAGACTCCTCCGTGGCTGAGTGTGTGGACAGGAATTGGCATGGAAGGAGGCCAGAGTCCCCGTGAGATCTGCGGCAGGGTTCGCAGGAAGGGCCTCCCTCCAGGGCGGGGCTGGGCACGGCGGGGGTTTGCTGCCTACCTGGGGATGTTCTCGTCCACGGTGGCACACCCGTACAGGAAGACGATGATCCCCACCACGGAGGCGGGAATGAGCATCTGGGTGTACACGCCCAGCCAGGCAAAGTAGAGGCCGATCTTCTCCCCGAAATACTTCCTGCACCGCGGGGCAGAGCCAGGCGGAGACACGCTCACCGACAGCAGGGGAGACGGCCCGTCCCCTCCCTCAATGGAGCCCCTCGCACAGAGGGCCCCGGTGCTCACGTTCAGGGAGCAGAAAAGGGGGGCTCCGGGTCGCCCCGTCGGGCTTGGGGGTGCCCTCTGCTTTCCTAAGCCCCGCCCGCCTTTTCTCTCTGGCGCCACTTCTGTGTGTGACGGCCCACCTGGGGGGGGTGAGTCTGTGTCCCCAGAGGCTGCCGGCCCCCTTCCAAGCCCCGTTCGGAACTGGAAGGAGCCACCGCGTGGCGGTGCCAGAAAGCCAACCGCGCCTCCCACTCAGACTCGCCGGCACCTGGGGGGCTTGGAAGAGACTGGCCGGGCTCGGGCCTGCCAGTCCCTGCAGGAGAGGTTTAGCTCAGCCTGGCTCTCCCTCCTTCCTGCCTCATGGGACACGGCAGGGAACCCCACCAGCCACCCAGTGCGGTCAGCAAACGCCTGAGCCTGGGGAGTACGGGGGAGTCATGTGGTGAAAAGACCCCCACCCCCCGGGGAATTTGCATCCACGGCCTCCGTCGAGGCTGGCCCGGCAGGGAGACCCCGGGCCTCCCAGCAGCTGAGACGCTCAGGGACGCTTCTCCGGCCAACGTTGAACTACAGCGTGACTCCCACAGGCTCTGGCTGGGGACCCAGGCCCGCCCTGGCGCCGTCTTACCTGACCAGGTCGATGGGCTGATACTTATAGAAGACTCCGTAACTCGCCCACTCTTCGTACAGGAGCTGGGAGAGAGTAAGTGGGGAGAGGGGGTGACAAGGTGACGCTCCGAGGCTACATCTCAGTCACTCAACAAACACTTATTGAGAGTTGGCAGAAAGCTGGCAAGAGGGAGCCTCCATTGTTCATGGAAGTGGGGATGGCAGAGAAGCTTCTGGAAGATCACGGGACCCTGACTCTTCACGATTTGATCTGGAATTGATCTTAAGCGGCCTGACCCTGTATGGCTTCCGCTTTCCAGTCCTCCCAGTCAGACACCAAACCATTCTATTATTTTTTATTTTTTGAGTTGGAATCTTTCTCCATCACCCAGGCTGGAGTGCAGGGGCGCACTCCCGGCCACCGCAACCTCGACCTGCTGGGCTCTGGCGATCCTTCCGCCTCAGCCTTCCAAGTAGCCAGAGCTACAGGCATGCGCTACCATGCCTGGCTAATTTTTTTTATTTATTGTAGAGACGAAGTCTTGCCAAGTTGCCTGAGTGGGTCTCAAACCTTCAGGCTCAGGTCATCCACTCGTCTCTGCCTCCCAAAGTGCTGGGATGACAGGCTGAGCCCCCGAGTCCGGCCTCAGCTTATTTTTTGATTTATGGTAGAGACAAGGTTTCACCAAGTGCCCAGGCTGGCCTCGAACCCCTGAACTCAGGCAATCCTCTCTCCTCAGCCTCCCAAAGTGCTGGAATGACAGGCTTGAGCCCCCCCACGGGGCCCAAATTATTCTTTATAAAGGGCACAAACCCACCAGGGTTTTGAGCAGAAAGTACCAAGGGCAACACTGTAAAATCTGGTAACATAAAAGCTCACAACATTGTAGAACCTCTCATGGGATGCAAAGATAGCTGGAAGCTTCTCCCCCGAGATGGACCGGCTGATTAACCGCACTTAGTGAAATAAATGAAATCGACACACAGTCCCTCGATCCCGCAGGCTCTGGGAAGGGACCAATAATGAGTTTGGTGGATTGTACCAGCATGCAGGGGGGGTCCTGAGAAGAGGAGCATTAGGACTGCAGGTTAAAGAAAAGAAACAACCCACACAGGTGGGTCCCTGATGCTTTCCCTACCTCAACTGGGAGCCCAGGCTCGAATGCCACGCCCGCACAGCTCAGGGCTTCTCTCCCGAGATGGACCCTCAGGACCGAAGGGTGCAGGGGCCAGAGGGGCTGGCGTGTCCCAGGACCGGGGCAGCTACTGCCAGGACAAAGAGGCCAGGCTGCCCATGTCCTCGGCTCTGATCTAAGAGGGGCTTTCTCTGAATTTTTTTTTTTTGAGTTGGAGTCTCACTCCGTCGCCCAGGCTGGAGTGCAGTGGCATGCTGCAGGCCACCGCAGCCTCAACTTGTTGGGCTCTGCCGATCCTTCCGCCTCAGCCTTCCAAGTGGCTGGAACTACAGGCGCGTGCTACCACGCCCGGCTCATTTTTGATTTATTGTAGACATGAGATCTCGCCAAGTTGCCCAGTCGGGTCTTGAACCCGCGGGTTAAGGCAATCCACTCACCTCAGCCTCCCAAAGTGCTGGGATGACAGGCTGAGCCACCGAGCCCGGCTAGGA